TTCATAATAGGAGTTGATAATTGTACTTTGACACCGTTTGAAATATTTAATGAAGTTACCATTTCCAATCAAAAAAAAGAGAGAGAAGAAAAGCCACTGGCTGAAGTGGGACATCCTCTGTGTTTTTTTTTTTATGCTAAGGTCCAAAGAAGCTTGGGCTATCAAAATTTGTAGGCCTTCAATTGGGCCTTGCTAACAAAGCAGTGTGGGATCTGTTGTACAAGCAAGATGCTATGTGGGTTCATATTCTCAAGTCCAGATGCCACCCTTTTGATGATCATTTGGAGGCCAAGGTTGGAACCAAACCCGTATGGGCTTAGAGGAGTCTTTTATGGGGCAAGGATCTCCCTTTATATGGCGGGTAGGTCATGGCTCATCAATCTGAATCTAGGAGGATCCTTGACCTGCCGACATTTGAAATTCAAACTCTGAAGCTAAGCTATTGTTTGTTATTGATCAAAAAAAGCTTTTGTTAGATAATGTGGGTGGTTGATCTCATCCATCATGTCCTATCAGTGGAATGCCACCTTGTTGTGCAATCTATTCTCTTCGGATGAAGTGGCTTCCATCTTGCAAGTTTCACTTGCTTGGGTATCTCTAGAAGATGAGCTTACGTGGCCCAACCAAGGATGGTTAGTTTCTAGTCGAAACTGCTTACCATCTAACCAACTTGGTTGGAATTATATATGGAGGATTGAAGTTTAACCTAAAATAAAGCATTCTCTATCAATATTGCCACAAAGCCCTCCCTGTGAAGGTGAAGCTAAAATCTTGTCACATTGATATTGATGATACATGCCCAAGATGTGGTAATGCTATTTTTTTTTTTTGATCAATAACACTTTCATTAAATAATCAATAGAAGATTTACAAGAGGAAGACAAACACACTCATCTTCCAAGAGCAACAAAGAACCTCAAGAAAAGGAAAAAAAGAAAAAAAAAAAACACTAAAGTTACAGCTTAGCCCAAAACAGTGAATCCCTTTCTGCCCCTTGTTTAGCTAAACCATCAGCTAGGGAATTAGCTGATCTTTTAACCCAACATGTCTTAACTTCCATCTCCCGC